ATAGTGACTATTTATTTTACATAATACCATTATCATTAATCAATTAATTAATAATAAACATTAAAGAGAAAACATATATGAAAGTGTTATATTTTTAAATCGATCGAACGTTCATCGATAAACGTTAGAAAAATAATAAAAATAAATAAATAAACGAATAAATGAGTTTTTTTTTTTAAATATTGTTGAAATATTTTCGTTAAAAATTTTTTTATAATTAAATCTTTTAAAATCACTCATTGGTCATTCATATATATCTTTATTATTACTATTATTACTATTACTATTATACAAGTACTAATACTACTAATACCACTAAATACTATTACAAACTTAAATGTCATAGTAGAGAAGGATTCTGAACAGTTGGACGCACGAGTGAAGATTTACCATTGTAAATTGGTAACTACAATTGAAGCTCAACCATTCGTACGCAGTACGTGCCTCTCGTCGGCAGTTCGGGCTCGCACACTTACGATAATTCGCTTTGCTAATTTTCAATTGCGATACGTGACGGTCAGCTTCACGCGCGAATGCATAAATATCCGTTTTGATGTTCGAAGCGAGATACAGGAGGAGATAAATAAATGTACATACGAACGAAAAGAAAAAAAAGAAAGAATGAGAGAGAGAGAGAGAGAGAACGAGTTTTATCATAGAAAGTGCTTGAAGGTACTGTGTGACTAACGAACAAAAAAGATAACAAAAAAGAAAAAAAAAATCAAATTAATCACTTCATTATAAGCTTTCAAGTTCCTATCTCAAATTATATATATATGTATGTATAATAAGATCAAAAATTTGTAATTTATAATGAGTAATCCAATAAGTAATCCAAATCTTTTATTAATTATTAATAATGGAATGTATTAATTAAAATAGGTATTAACTTTTTTAAAATCCATTTTGAAGGCGTTTTAATAAAACAAAAAACGAAAAAAGAGAAAAAAAAAAGAAAGAAAGAAAGAAAGAAAGAAGAAACAAAATTACATTGATGGAATATAGGGAGTGAAATTCAATTTATTTAATTAATTTAATTAATTTAATTAATTTAATTAATTTAATTAAAATAATATTATAATTTAAAAAATAATTAAAACGATTACGTTAAAAATAATATAAATATAGAAAATATCTAATACACGATTAATGTTATTTATTATATAATATCAATCGTCAAATTTTCAAAAGAAAATTCTCTGAATAAATAAATATTAATTATATATAATTTATATATAAACAGATATTAAATAAATATATAGATAATAAAAAATCTTAACGTTAAGAGAAAGATAAAAAATGAATAATAAATCTGATGTAATAAACGGAAAGAGAGAGATAGAGATAAAGAAACAAAGATAAAGAGAAAGAGAAAGAGAGAAAGAGAGAGAGGGAGAGAGAGAGAGAGAACAGGGTTGAATTTTCAAAGTAAAGGGTTGAAATAGACAGCGCAGATCCACGGGATGGCACTGCACTGCGGCGAATAGAATCTCGTTTCGTTCCTACGCTTGTAGTTATGTGCAATTGTGTTCGTAATGGTGATACACGTAAATATATACATACATATATATATACATATATATACATATATATATATATATATATATATATATATATATATATATAATATATATGTATTTATGTACTACGAAAGATGACAGTGGTAGAACTATATAGAAACGTATGCACGCGGAGAGTGTTGCTAGAAATAGAGAGATAGTACTATACTACATAGTCGTAGGTACCTACTCTTGTCCACAAAGGACCCGTTCCAACGTTACTCTCGCACTTGTATCTATTTGCATAGAAGACGTTAGTGGCTTACGTATTCGATGTTTGTCGATTGCTATTCAAATCACGAATTTCCCACGAAAATAGTTTGCCCTTATGTTATTTCATATATTCATAACCATTGTTCAAAGAATTTATTATGTATTATGAATTTAATTGAGAATAAATGTTTCCTTTAATTATTTATTAAAGAAAATTTTTTCGCGGATATCTTTTCTACGTATTCCCATAAATTTGTTGATTTGTAGGAAGAATTTTTTTTTCTTTTTCTTTTTTTTTTTTTTTTTTAAAAAGAATGACAAACACTCGAGATTGATTTTATTGAATCTTTAATATTTCAATGTGCGCATAGATTTTTGTTCGTTCGATAATATGTGCACGTGTAAGTTGAAAAAAATTGGGAAAATTTTAATGTCGTAGAAAAATTTATTCTACTTTTGTTTGACTCGAGTTATTTCAATTTTTCGACGAATCATTGATCTTATCTCTTAGTATATCTATTTGCATTGTAGACGTATAAGTGGCTTACGTATTCGATGTTTATCGATTGCTATTCAAATCACGACTTTTTCATGAAAATAATTCACCTTTGTATTATTTCAAATATTTATAATCATTGTTCGAAGAATTGATCTGTATTATAAATATAATCGTGAAAAAGATTTGTATAATTATTTATTACAGTAAATATTACATAAACCTTTTCTACGTCGGAATATAAATTTGTGAATTGTATAAAAATATTGAATTATGCTTATGTATGATATTCTATATCCTTATGTATTTAATACATTTAACTGTTGAACATAAATTATTAACAATCAAAATGAAATATTCAGAAATAAGAAAAAATTTGCTCAAAATATTTTTTAATAAAAAAATTATACGAAATTTTGCGAAGATCCTGTATAAATATGTAGATTGTATGAAAATATTTGATTATACAAACACATGAAATATATTATTTCAAACGAACCATAGATTTTGTTTATATTTGCATGCGAAACGTTAATGGTTTACATATTCTATATTTGTCAATTGCTGTTCAAATTACGAATTTCCCATGGGAATAATTTATCACTTTGTTGTTTCAAATATTTACAAAGTATAGTTCAATGAATTGTTCATTATTACAAATTTGTTTGAGAGAAATTTTGCGTGATTATTTTTTATAAAAAATTTTACATACATTTTTATTCTATGATTAAATATTTCTTTTTAGATATGTATAATAAACGTGCGAATATTGAATCGTACGAATATATGATATATATTTTAAATATTTCATACATTTAAATGTCCACCATAAATTTACTGCATATCTGTTCCTTTTAAAATTTTATTATTTTTCAAACGAACCATAGATCTTATTTACATTTTTATGTTAAACTTTCATGATGATTATACTTATTCGACGTTAATCGATTGTAATTAAAATCACGAATTTCTAATGAAACTATAATAGTTTATATTAAATACAGAAATTAGTTATTATATTAATTTAAATATTTACGAAATATTGTTCAAAGAATAGATCAGTATTATGAATTTAATTGAAAGAACCTTTATATAATTATTTCGTACAGATAATTTTACATAAACTTTTTTCTATGGTTAAACTTTTTTCTTTTATGGGTACATACAAACGTGTAGATTATACGAGAATATTGAATTATACAACACGTATAATATATGTTTTAAATATTTCATACGTTTAAACGTCTAATATAAATTCATTGTACTTTCTCTCGCTTTATGTTCTTGTATTTTTCGTTCCTCGTACATACCACAGCTATTCGTAGAATTAGGAAATTATATTCATAGCTCATGTAAATTCTTCGTTAGTAGTAATAATAATAATAATAATAATAATAATTATTATTATTATTATTATTATTATTATTATTATTATTATTATTATTAATATTAATCATTATTATACGCGTTATCATGTGAGTAATTTCGTTGTCGGAGTTTCGCTATACAAAATGTAAATGGGAGAATAAATTATTATTCACAGGGAAACTGAAAAGTAGTTCCGAGTTTAATCGTGTTGTAATATGGTCGATAAAAATTTCATTCTGTTGGGTAGTTACGAAGGACCAATTAGAAAACACGAGAGAAAGAGTATGAAAGAGAAAGAGAGAGAGAGAGAGAGAGAGAGAGAGAGAGAGAGAGAAAGAGAGAGAGAAAGAGAAAGAGAAAGAGAGAGAGAGAGAGAGAGAGAGAGAAAGAAAAAGAGAGAGAGAGAGAAAGAGAGAGAAAGAAAAAGAGAAAGAGAGAGAGAGAGAGAGAGAGAAAATACAATTTTTTTTTTCTCTTTAGCCAATTAAAAATTTTTTAATTTCGTTTAATCCCAGTAAGCTTGCTTACGAGGGAACACCTCGGTGCAAACATTTTTTTTTCTTCCTTCGAATCATTATAAATATGTAGAGTATTAAAAGTTATAAGACGTCAGCCTTTTTGCATTTTCTTTTGTTACTAATAAACGATTTAAAGGAGTTAAACACGTAGTACCTTGATTTTCATCGGTGAGAAATTTTCTTTCTCTCTCTTTTCTTTTTTTTTTTCTTTTTTTTTTTACTGGCGCACAAAATTCACAGCTCGTTTTATCGGAAAACGTTTTAGACAAATATTGTTCGGATTTTTAATGTAACAGCAATATGGCGCTTCGTTAGAGATTTCATTCTTTTTTTCGTTTTTTTTTTTTTTTTTTTTTTTCCTTTCTTTATTATCGAAAATTTATTATGTACTTTTTGTCACGAAGCAATTATATTGTTTTTAATTAATAAAGAAAAATTACTCTGTATAATTATTGTCTATTTTCTTGTCGTCTATATAACACGAAATTTTTTCAGAAATTATATTATGTCAATTTAAGTTTTAAATAATGGTAATAATTATCGTAATAATTATTTTTAAATTTGAATACACACACACACACACACACACATACATACATACATACATACATACACATATAAAGCGATGTAGATTTAAATATTTTTAAAGTCATAATCAGTGATCATTATAAATCAATCGTAATAATTATTTTTATATTCGAACACACATACATACATACATACACACATACATACATACTTACATACATACATACATACATACATATAAACGTACATACACACAAAGCTTACTGATTGAATTGATTCATCACTTATTATCATTTTATTTTAAATATATCGTTTCAGATAGCACAGCACATGGTATACGACGTTTAAAAGCGGACATTTTTCAAGAATGGCCGTCACCGGAGAAAGGACCATACTTCGATACTTCGGTGCCATCAAATATGACCGGCTTAGTCGGGAAAACCATTGAGTTGATCTGTAAAGTGAAGAATCTCGGAAACAGAACGGTAACCACGTACTATAGCATAATGATATATATCTGCTCATTCTTAAACATAGAATACATTAGCAACATTTTTCTTGAAAAACTTTTATCATGAATATAATATAGGTATTATACTTACATTAAATCTAATTTCTACGATATATATATATATATACATACGTACACTAAAGTCAGTTTATTGATCTAATCGTTTAAGGAGTTACAAATATCTGGACTATTCAAAAGTAGGACAATTTTTATAATTTTCTTTTTAACATTAGTCATTTATTTTATTAATAAAGTTATTTTTATTTATAAAAAATTTATTATTAATAAATTATTATTTATTATTAATAAAAGATCATCTAAATATGTGTGATAGCGCGTACTTCGACGAATATTTTTCAACAAAAAAATTAAAACTATTTTTTATTCCTGTTAGGACTTATCGATCTCGTATTAGAGTAGTTTCGATCATTTTGATGGTATCAAAAATATCTCCTCAGAGTGTTATCAAAATTGAAAAAAAAAGGGAAAATAAAAAGCGCCTGAAAGTAGATTTAAAAAAAAAGAAAAAAAAAAAGATCAAAATGGGTCATTCGTAAAGTGCATTTTGTAATATTTTCATTTCTTAAACAAATATAAATGATTGAATTTATCGTTTGATTTTCGATTGGAAATTTCGATTAAATATTTGATGAAAAGAAAAAAAAGAATAGAAAGAAATTCACTGAAAAAAATTTACACGCGTTTTTCAAGACTAATCAATTGACATAAAGAAATAATCGCATCGAATTTCATTCAAATATCGAAATATTATTGAGATCGATTTGAAAAACATAATTTTTTAAAAAACATAATTTTGAGAAAATACCGTTTAAAGTTTAAGGATACATGTAATATTGTACTTGGTAGGATCGATTTCAAATAGTCCTTCAAATTGTAAATAACTTTAACAAATTTTTCAAATTTTTGATAAAATTTTCCGATAACATTCTTAAAGAATAATACTATCGAGCTAAATGAATAAAAAAATAAACTATATATTATATATTTTTTTTTGAAAAATCAAATTTTTTCAATTTTCCAGATGTAGAATACATAATCGATTAATTTATCTTCACATTTCATTTTTCACTTCGTAATATCTTCTTCTTGTCAATTATTCGTAGCGTTGTAGTTGCATTTTTATAATATTATCGGAGAAAATTAAAAAAAAAAAAGAAAAATAAAAAAGATAGAAATAGAGAGAAACATTTTTAAAAGATCGATGATATTTTTCTTTTTTTTTGTTATTTTTTACTTTTTCTCTTTTTTTTTCGTTAAAAAAGTCAATTCCTCGATTACTTTATTAACTTTCTAGAAACAAAAGATGAAAAAATTATATTATTATCAGATGATTAAATTCACGAAGAAATGAATTGAAACGATTTTCGAAAGATCATCCAAGTAGATTGAAAGTTTTCAACGATAGCCAATCCTCTTTTCTTTCGTTTTATCCTCCCTCCTGCCTCCTCTCTCTCTCTCTCTCTATATATATATATATATATATATATATATATATATATATATATGTATGTATATGGATAAATATATATTATATATACATAAAGGAGATATATACATATATATATATATATATATATATATATATATATATTTTCTACCCATTTCTCTTTGATATTAGAGACAGTTGAAAATGATTCAAAGCGAGCGTGTAAATTAAATCATAGTTAACGTTTATTCAACCGGGAAATTATCTCTTTCTGTTCTTTACCACATCTTACTGTTCCTTTGGAATCCATTGCAAGAATCTTTGCTGGATCTTTCAACCCTTTCAAATGCATCCGAAAAGTTTTCACAGGTTTAGAAAGGACGATTAAGTCGAGAAAGAGAGAAAGATAGAGAGAGTAAGAGAGAGGGAGAGGGAGAGAAAGAAAAAGCGAAAGATAGAGAGAGAGAGGGAGCTAGAGAGAAATAGAAAGAGAGAAAGAGAGAGAGAGAGAGAGCTAGAGAGAAATAGAAAGAGAGAAAGAGAGAGAGAGAGAGAAGTCACTTCCCTTTCATTCTAAAGGTATGTATGTACGTCTTTATATATAGAGTGTAACGCCGCTCGCGGGTTACCAGTTTTAATCCCGAAACTCATTTCTATGCAAAGCTCGGTTGCTCACATTTATGCCTGTCCCGGAAGTACGTGTGTACCGTCTAATACGTTTCGTTGATAACGCACGTTTTATACTTGTTCACTTGTTCGTTGCTGAACGGCGCTAGGAAAATTGAGATTCCGCGGTCGAGGGAAATTACGAAGATCGCGGCTACGTTCTCTTTTTCCTTCCCTTTTTCTCTCTTTCTCTCTCTCTCTCTCTCTCTCTCTTCTTTTCTTTTTTTTTTCTTTTTAACCACGCTTTTTCCAAATCGTAAAGAATTGAGAAAGCTTGAACGAATATATACGATTATTATTATTTAAAAGTTTCTTCGTACTTTTGACTTCAAATTCTTATGCTTTCTTTTTTTCTTTTTCTTGTTTTTTTTTTTTTTTTTCTTTGCAAAAGAGAGAAAATTGTTATTAAAGGAATTAATTGTAATTGAATGTCAATTGGAATAACACAATTGTATTGAATTTTTGTTATTAATTATTCATTAATGTTTAAAGGGAAATATTTGAAATCAATCGATTAATATCGTATTTGATTAGTTTTATCGAAGAAATTAATACTATAACATCTTACTTACAGAGTTTCTCTATCTTTTTTATTAGTCATAGAAAAAGAAAAGAAATATAAATATATATAATTAATATAAATATATATATATATATATATATATATATATATATATATAGACAAATATAAATATACATACATAATATATACAAATGAATTATATTAATATTATTATTTAATCGATCGTGCAACGTTAGCTGTTCAATATGTGCGAAATAAATGACGTCGAAGAGTACGCACGTTTCTCTGCTTAAAATAGAAAACAAAAAAAAAAAAGAAAAAAAGAAAGGTAAAGCAAGTTGGCACGAATAAACGTGGAATATTTTCCGTGGTTGGAATTAAAAGCACGATAGAACGTGTGAGATATATACATACATATATACGTATACCTATACACATAACTAAATATATATATATATGTGTGTGTGTGTGTGTGTGTGTGTGTGTGTGTGTGTGTGTGTGTGTGTGTGTGTGTGTATATGTACAATGTCGACAGGAAGAATCCTCTCGATTATAAAAGAAATCACGAATTCTCTTTTGTAATTACAAACGATACACTTTTTAATTAATATCGAACGTGTTTTAAAATCTTATCAAATCGCAAACGTTAATATAAATTCCATAAAATCGCATTTCGGTTACGTAAAGGCAAATAGATTTAATCTCTCTCTCTCTCTCTCTCTCTCTCTCTCTCTCTCTCTCTTTCTCTTTCTTTCTCTCTCTCTTCCTCTCTCTCACATATATATATACATTTTTCTTTGCATTTTTCTCTTTGTTTCTCTCTATCTCACGTATATCGAATTTTGTGGTAATTCATTAGTTAAAGTACCATTGTCATTAAGCTCCTAACAATGTCAATAAATTAGTATGATGTAAAATAATTTTTTTTTCCCTTGTTACCATAAAAATTGCAATCGTATTAACATTCCTATAGTTCATCTTCTTTTATTCTGTCGTATTTTTATAAATCAATTCATGTAAATAACAATTGTTATTGAGAATTATAATAAGTATACGAAAAAAAAAAGAAAAAAAACAATAGAAAAAGTTTGGCAATCATTAATTCATTTAATAATGGAAATATATCATATAAAAAAATTTTTAAAGCATATATCTTTTCAATTCAAAAGCAAAAAATTCAAAAGCATTTTTTTTTATAGGACATAATTTTATAGGAATTATTTTCATCCATTTGACCTCAATAATAAGCAGTATAATTTTGATTCCATACTATATTTGAATATCTTGTATATTGTACATATGTATGTATGTATGTATTGGAAACAATATCGTTTTCGTGAAAATCACTTTGTACTCAAAGTGAATGATTTAGAGTTTATTTGACGAGTCTCGAAGTTCCGATCATTAATACCGGAAACATAGAGAATTTTCAATATTTCCTTTGACATTGTTTGAACGATTAGTTGGAGAAGGATTCATTCAATCCGTACACATTCGAATTTTGCCGCTTATTTCATTCCTTGATTCGAACGAACGTAAAGTTCGTTTATGCGAACACATTAATCCTATTATACAATCAATTTGATAACGATTATAGTGTTTATTAGTGTTTATTCTATTATGCTGATCTGAAATTGTTTTTTTTTTTTGTATTTTTTTTTTCGTTCTCTTTTATTATTTCTAAGTAAATTTATACGCAAAACATGATAGATATTCATATGAGTTATTTTGATTATTTTGAAAGTAATACGACTTCTTGCAATTTCTTGTTTTTTGTTTTTTTTTTTTGATTCTATATTATCATTATTAATGATTAATCAATTATTAATCATTAAATTGTATAATGGAATAAATAATTTATCTTTTATTTTTTTCGTGAAGAACATTTCACACATTGAATCAAAATTCAACGTAAAGTTCATTTATGTGAATACCATAATCTTATTATAGAACTATACTGATGACGATTATATGGGATATTCTACGTGCGAATAAATCTGAAAGCATTTGTTATGTTTCTTTCGTTCTTCATCTTTATATCTAAATAAATTCATTGCAAAACGCGATAAATACTTCATTCATTTCGTTATTTAGATCTCTCGAAATTGGATATATTCACGAATTTGAATATTTTTCATTATTTTTTTTTTGTCTTTGATTATATATTGTTATCATCAATTTTGAGTAGTCCAATGCGAAAGGGATCAGTACCATAAAAGTGCAATAAGTGTAGAATGAAATATTAACTTTATGAATAATAGTGTTTTGAATAGAAATTGCGTACGCATTTATAACTATTATTTCTTTTTTTTTCATTTAAATTTATATTAATAATAACATATGGCAATATTTATATATATATATATATATACATCTGTGGGATTATTTTGTGTTTTATTTTTTATTTTTTATGTTTTTTTTTTTTATAAACTTTGATCTAAGAATTGAATTTGAAAAATAACTTGATAAGAATACTATTCTTATCAGATTATATTTTATTCAGAATAAGGAATACTTAATATTATCACGAAATTATGAATTAAGGGATAATAAGAAGAAACGATAAGATGTCAGAAACAATAAAAATCTTATTTTTCAATATTTTATGAGAGAATCAATTCTCACGCAAAATCTCTCAATTATTAATCATTATACAATATAACAAGCAATCAATTTTTTTACATTCCACATTTAACTAATATTTATAAATTTTTATATTTTATATTTTACATTTTATTGTATAACTTGAAATTATTTTGAAGTGTACATAATTAGGGTTAAATTATTTTCACTTTAGATCAATTTACTAATATCTATAGATTAGTCATTTTATTAATTTTTGTTTTTTTCAATAATTATTAATAAAAAATTTCTTATCTATTGCAAGGTGTTGTGGGTAAGGCATCGAGATATTAAATTACTTTCACTTTAGATCAATTTACTGATACCTGTAGATTAGTTATTCTATTAATTTTTTTTTTTCAATAATTATTAATAAAAAATTTCTTATCTATTGCAAGGTGTCGTGGGTAAGGCATCGAGATATTCATTTGCTGACCGTGGGACGTTACACCTATACTAGCGATCAACGTTTCGAAGCAATGCATATGCCACATTCGGAAGAATGGACATTGCAAATACGATATCCTCAGAAAAAGGATTCCGGTGTATACGAATGTCAAATCTCTACGACACCCCCTATCGGACTTCCGGTTCATCTTACAATAGTTGGTAAGTCGTCAATTATTCAAAATAATTTTTATTTTTGTATTCAATATTAATGAGTTCCAAGTAGTCCGATTAATTTTATTAATTGAAGTGAGATCAACGTAACGAGATCATTTGTTTTGATCATTTATTATCGATAATAATCGATCGAAGGAAGAAAAAATTTCTTTTCGAAATTTTTCTAAAGATATGAATCGTTCGAAAGCTCACACACACATAAAAAAAAAAAAAATGTATATCTATGGCATATATAGCGTGTCGATTATGATTGTAATGAGATCTTTTCTTCGAAAAGTTATGATCTTCTTTTCAAACGACAAATCATACTTGAAAGATCTTAAATGACAACAGACAAACAAATTTAATATTATACGAAAGATTCTTTTAATTATTTTTACGTTGGTTCCTCTTTTTTTCTTTTTTTTTTTTTTTGGTTTCTTTTGTAACTTTGAATCAATAATTTTCGAAAAAAAAGTCAATAAGTTTCGAAGTTTCAGGTTGGAAAGAATTTTTACTTTATTTTCTTTTAAGTTAAATTTGTTTCTTTTATTTTAATTGAAATCCATTCAAAATTTGTTTACGTCCCTTATATCCGTTAATCAAGTTTTTTTGTTCGATATTACGTCGAATATTATGCAAAAGAGAAAATACTCTATATATGTATAAGTATGGTTGAGATAGTTAACGTTTAAAAATTTTTTTTTTTTAATTTACGATGAATCAATTAAGCTCAGGATCGGCAAATACGATTTATGGCAAGGACAGGATTCGCATAGGAGGATTTTTGGAATTTTCAAATTTAAAACAACTGAAAGATATATTGTTTATAAACGTAACAAGTCGCATGAGTCGTGCAATTTCATGCTATTTTTTTACGAATCACTTTTTTCTCTTTTATTATTATATTTTTCTAAATAACTTATAACATATCGTCGTAGAAATTTTTGTAATTAAAGTTACCATTGAATTAATTCTACTATCGTTCTTGTTTAATTGTTCAATGATGAAAATCTAAAAAATATTTCGATTTGGGAAATTATTTCTAATGGTATATTTAATGCAAGATTTTATTCAATAAGAAATCCATTAGAATCCTTTTCAGGGATAGGATATTAATCGAATTATCTTAGATTCGATTAAAACTTCATAATAATTCTTTTAAATGATAAAATAGAAAATTATCTATACGCCTTTCTCTCGTTATCATAAAGAAAAAGTACATACACACGCACATACACACACACACACACACACACACATGTATATATACACATACATACACATACACTTATACATACTTACGCACATACATATTGGACAATACATACACATTATGCATATGTGTGCGCATATACACACACACACACACACGTACACACGCGCACGCAGCACGCACATGCCTATACATATATATGTATAGACATGTACACACACACACACACACACACACACACACACATATATATATATATATATATTATATATAGCCGTTCTAGTTTATCTCGTAGAAGGAAGATTGAACATATCCTTAATGGAAGTAACACCACATGGGACCCGATCTCGCTCGGTTATATCTTACGCAGATACGCTTTGGAATGGAATTTCGTATCCACTTGCTTTTCTCTATCGCATCGACACTCGCTTTGAGAAAGAATTTAATCAGTCTCTATTCGAGGATGGAATATAGAATACTTTATCCTTTCCCTTTCTCTTTTCTATTTTTTTTCTTTCATGTGTATCTATACATATATATATATATATATACACACACACACACATACACACACACACACATATATATATGTATCTTCTATGTACTTACATACGTACTTACATACGTATATATGTATGTCATTATTTTCCCGAAGAAACATATTGGAAACTTAGTTCTTATATATTTCTATATAGAACAAGTTCTCTTTCTACTCAGTAGTTTTACTATTCGCCGAATGAAAATATCCGATAGCGTTATTTCAATGATACATGTAGATATGTATTTATATAAACTTGAGAAATCATTGAAAAACATTTTCCTGATTACGAAAAGAGAGAGAGAGAGAGAGAGAGAGAGAGAGAGAGAGAGAGAGAGAGAGAGAGAATGTGATGAATATGGTGAATGTTTATTAATTGAATTATTGTTCGAATCAATTTTATTGGAATAATATCTTTTCTTTAGAAAATATTATTTTCTACGAGTGTTTTGTCAATAAAGAATAAATCATATCGTTGGAATATTGAATGAGAGTATAAATATATGAAACTAGTAATGTAAACAAAGCTGATAAAGAAATTTTTCTTTTTTTTTTTTTTTTTTTTTTTTTTTCTATCTTCTTTTATATCTATCTCGGAAATCTGTAAAAAAGCTTTTTGAAACGAACGATTAAATTAATAATCGTCACGTTTAATTCATCTTCTGGAGCATCGATGTTTTTTCTTTTTTTGTTCTTTTTTTTTTCTTTTATTTTTTTTTGTTTTTTTATTGAAAATATTTACGATTCTTTTCGATTGTTAATCTAAGAGATATATCATATAATTTTATTGAAACGTAAATATCAAATAAATTCGACGCTTTCGAAAATGAAAGAAAAACTTTTTTCTATAATATTCGTTAGGTTCGTTCTATTAATTTAAAAAGGAAAATAAAATTCAGATACGTGAAAAGAGGATTTTAAAAACACGGCAAAACTGTATACAACGTGTATATTTTCTCGGTTATAATCTTCTTCGATTATCGATACTTTTCGCTACCCTGAAGGGAAGAATATTTCAATAAACTTTCCTCTCTCTCTCTCTCTTTCTCCTTCTCTCTTTTTTTCTCTTTTCCTCTTTCCCTTTCTTTTTCTATCTTTCTCACACTAACTAACTTTTGTATTCCTTTTAGTTCTAATTTCTTTAAACTTCCGATAACTCTTACGTAGATTTTAGTTTGAAAATTAAATTTATTTCGTTACAGGTAATGAATAAAGTCATCTTTTATATATAAGAATATATATCTAGGAATGACTAAATTATTAGTTCCATTAGTTCCATACTAATAATATTACATAAACAATACGCATACATACATACACATGTAAATAAATACTATTTTAATAAATCATAACGTTTCACTTTACCTTCCCCATCTATTATTGTTTTTATTATATTTATATATATTCTTTGAATTTGCCAAAATAAGTCGGTCCTACAAATGATTCGTCAAATGATTCGAAAAATCAATAGAAAGATGCTTAATGAAACGTTATATATAAAAATATCAATAAACTATGATTGATTCATTGATCTGATCTGGTTTAATGTATTGATTTACCTTTTACATTTTATTAATTGATAAATAAATTAACAAAAAATTTGGCAAATAATGATTCACTTATTCACTAAATGAATAATAATGACTCTAATCACTTCCCAATAAATGTCATCGTATGATGACACCTAAGTCATGTCAATTTAAGTAGCTAAGAATGTAGGAGTGATATACTGAAGATTTCTGCTAAAACTTTTACTCCCGATTTTATGTCTCTAACACTTTTGCCCTTTCAACGTATACGTAATGTAACATTTGCGACTCCATTATGGCTGGGTCGGCTAAGATAAGCCAAAGGTCAGGGCCCTTTATATATAGATCCTCAGAAACACTTGGGTCCATAATATTGGCAATCATCAACATTTCGGAACCCTGAGTTTTTATTATTATTATTATTGTTATTATTGTTCTCATTTTTGTATCATCCACGAATGGTCTTATTCTTTCGAAAATGATTGAACCGAGTTTCATTCATTTTCGTGTTCGATTGTTCCTTTTTCTTTTGAGGAATGAACAAAATATTTTTTATATATTTTTAGAATAACGAATTTCTGTATATACGTATTGCATATGTAGGGTGTCCCTTTTATCTCGAAAAATTGGAATATCTTCGACAAAAATGTTTTTCATACATTTCATTGATATAAAAGAATACTTTTTTTTTTTTCGTTTAGTCAAATGACGGAGAAATTTTTCAAAGCCAAATAAATTTGTTTAAATGGAGCTATATATATATATATATATATTTTGTTTTGTTTTTCTTTGTTTTCGTAGTTCGATGACATTTGTCGAGACAAATTCGAGAACGTGTTATACAAGATCATTCATTATTATAAAATGTTACAAGTTATATTACAAATTTGTAAGTTCCTAAAGAATATAACACTGTATCATCGGTAGTCTGGTGATTAGCTTGCATACAGTAAACAAAGGCTGAACTTCTTATATCCCTTTATCCTTCTCAAACTACTGATCTAAGTAAACGAAGTTTATTTCTTAAGAAGTTTGGCCTTTGTTCATAGCATGCAGCCTAACAATCAACAAATAGCGATACAGGATTATAATCCTTAGGAATTCATAAATTTATAATTCATTTTATAATGTTTTACAATAATAAATGACCTTGTAAGGCATAACGTCATACAATTCGTCTGAACAACTATGTCATCGAACTATGAAAAGACAAAAAAATTATATATTATATATATATATATATATATATATATATATATATATATATATATATATATAAAAGAATGAATGTGAATTTAAATTTGAAATTTCCTCTGTCAGTAGATCTTGAAAAAAGAAAATAATTACCAGGAAAAAAAAAATTAAAGAAAATAATTTAATGCATTGATAAACGGCTTAGATATCATAGCAATTGTAAATTAACAAGACGAATTATCGTAATTGTTTTTTATTTCCATATCCTTTCTATTTGTTTTATTAATGGTGTGTATATATTCGTTTATTTTTTTTTTCCCCTATATTTCCTATAATCTTATATTTTATTTTGTATCTTATCAAAATAAGATTAAATACAAAAATTACTTTGTATTATTTTATCTCTTATATATAGTATCGTATGATTTTGTACATATATATTGTTACATCCCAATACAATTTGGATTGATTATTTTTCGAGAGCTATGATTGGCTGTATAATTATAATATAATTTAATCATGTTATCAA